CCACCACTGAGGGAGGTCATCCAATGACCAAAAGGGACACCATGGCAATGATGTGCATTCATCCATGGTATGCACAAGAGCCACTATCGATTGAGCATGGGCCAAGTACTTATGGCCCATGTACGTAGCACATCATACATTCATACATCACATGCAGGGATAAATTGATCCAATCAATTAATCATTTGTAAGGCCCATTTGAAGCCCATTTTAAATCCATAAAATTAACCATTAATATTATCTAGGTATATGGGCCGAATGGTTCAACCCATATAGCTTTATGTTTTTAATTGGGCTTTTATCAGTCCACTTGAACTCGTCATGAACTCCCCGCACCGGGTCAGGACCCCTGGCTTGAGGAGTCGGGGGCAATTGATGAAGGGTGATTTGGCCCAACCTAGTAAAGAAGGGACACGTTGACACAATTTGACCAAGAGATGACAACTCAGCCTGACATGACCAGTGCACAATAGATCGAGTTCGGATATTCAACCACCTCGGGATAAGGTGACCTCAGGACAAGGTCACCTCGGGACGAGATCACCTCGGTACCAGATCGGAACAGAATCACTTTGATCCCAAGGCACTTTGGCATTCAACTCAGTTCAGAACCTAAAAGCTTCAGCTCAGGGATACCAACTTTAGATCACTACGTGGTGATCCCAAAAATCTCTCCAACGGATTCCGAACCTTACGGGATCACGCCGTGTAACAGCTAGCATTATCTCCTCCCCGCCCGATTCGGGCGGAATTGGTAAGCCTTATCAGTTGACAACGCTATCCCTCAATTAATGCGAAAATGGATCTCATCGTGATGAAGATCCCAGAACCGATCCGTGAAACCTGCGATGACTCAACTATATACAGGCTCCACCCCCGGTGGCTCAAGGTACGTGTGATTTCTCTGCTCTCTAGCTCTCAATATTCTCAACATTTTTTCAGTTCGTAACAAGCTTGCTAACTTAAAGATCGGAGCGACCTCGCCGGATTAGCCACCCCGGGTTCTCTGATCCTATTTTGCAGATCCACCTATCTCGTCATCCGACTAGAAGCCAGATCAACATCCAGGAGGGAGAAATCAGATTGCGCTACATTAAATTACCTTTCTGCCATAATCTAAGATTCAAAATAGTCCTTTTTAATTCTTTAATTGCGTCAAAAAATGGTTTTGACAAAATTCCAGGATTGTATGATCCACAAATCCTGTAGAAATATGAATCATAAAAGTCCATGAGGCTGTGCGCTACAGTACAAAATAAACAAATCAAAACCGCAATGGTACTCACTCCGGTCAACCATAGCCTTTGCTGTTTTGTCGGACACTCCAAGAATCCAAATGGCTCACTCACTGTTTTGTTTTGTCGTGACGAAACCGCTGCCAAAAATATTACGTAGACCAATGGTCGAACACTTGGAATATTATAATTTAATTGATAACCCAATGAGCGCGATCGATCTCATTTAGTGAAGTTAACAATTGGATGAGCACACTACCGTGTTTATCACTCTTATTGGCTCTTAAATTAGACATATATATATATATATACATATATTCCAACTTTCATGGGTGCTGCGAGGTAAACGACGAAGTACCTTGGGTCTYGGACTTTATAAACAACTTGCCACTTGAGTCTGCAGATTCAAGAACACAGATGGTGGGTCATGATTCTAGAACAATGTTTTGAAAAATGACCTGAAATTGAAATCATTCCAACCACCGGTTTTCAGGTGAATGGTTCGATTGTCTGATTTGAATGAATGACCTATTTTAATAAAAAGTTAAAATAATAATTAAAATAAAAAATAATTAAAAATCGTTGATTGAATCGAACAAATCAACAGTTTGATCAACTGAGTCAATAAATCGCTAACTAATTCAACGGTTTTTGATTAAGGACTAAGTTTAGGATAAAATAAAACCGGTTGCCCTAGATGATTTTCAGGCTAAATGGTTCAACTGTCCGAATCAACGATGATTCAAAAACCATGTTATATAGCCAGTTAACGTATTAAATGTCTATTAATTCACCATTAAATGGTTCCTACTAAAATATTAATTGGTTGTGCCAAAATAGATCTTCGTCATTAGAAATTTGAGTCCCCATATGTATTCACATAATTAAGTTAGTAAAATCATCAAATGGTTGTAATAAATGCTCTAAGAACAACGACTTTGGTCTAATTGATCCAACAGAAGTAGGACCCATCGCTTGGTGGCCCTATACCAATCTACTGGCCTGGTCACTGGTGTCATACATAAGATTAATCTTGATTTTCACCTAAGAATTATAAATTAATGACTAGTACTGACTACTGACTACTGAGAAAGAGTGAGAAAGTTGGAGGTTTTATTTGGTTTATGGGTGGTAGTAAATGTTTAAGTAGAAGTAAACTAAACAACAATATCTCTTCACATCTCATTCCTTCAATCAAAAGTAAACCCACTTATAAATCCATTAAAATGCGACAGGAACGACATAGACATAACACAGACATGTTAGAGTAGGGTGATTGCTAGCTAGGTCTCTCTAAAACTCTGCAGTACAGTCCCGCCAAATGGGAAGAAGACCCTGCTGTTCCAAGGAAGGCTTGAATAGAGGAGCTTGGAGTGTTGTTGAAGATCAAATACTCATGGATTACATCAAACTCCATGGTGAGGGAAATTGGAGATCCCTACCTCAGAAAGCAGGTGAGTTCATCAATGAGACATGCACTAAGAAATTCTTAACTTTATTGCTATATATGCTGTTTTGTTAGTCTACAAATTAAAACCATACCAGCAGCTATCTAATGTTCTGAAATCTGAATATACTTCACCAATTATTCCAGGTCTCAACAGATGTGGCAAGAGTAGTAGACTTCGCTGGTTGAATTATCTGAGACCAGATATCAAGAGGGGAAACATATCCCATGATGAAGAAGAGCTGATTCTCAGGCTTCACAAGCTCTTGGGGAACAGGTGATGCTGATGGTCTAACTTGTTTAATTTCTCTTAATTTTATTAGTTTTCTGGTCTACATGATACATAATTTGCAGAATATTAATTCAAACGAACTTTGGTTTTCTGCACTACTGCAGGTGGTCTCTGATAACTGGGAGGCTTCCAGGGAGAACAGATAATGAAATCAAGAACTACTGGAACACCAAGTTAGGAAAGAGGAAAAGAGATCACCCCAGCTCTTCTTCGGCTCCTAATAGCAAGCACTCAAAGCAATCAGAAAACGAGAAGAATGAGCCCATTGATGAGTTATCTGCAGGCCAACCAAAGATAACAACTTTGGTCCGGACCAAGGCATCAAGGTGCACAAAGATTTTTATTGTTCCCACTCAACCACGAGACCATCATCAAGTTGAAGAAATTGATGACGCTAATGCAGCAGTAATTCCTCCTCCCAATCCAATGGTTGATAGCCTTGTGACCCAGAAAGCAGTAGAATCAGAACCCTGCAGCAATGGGCTGTCATCACTCACTACTCCTGTTGAAGACAATTCGCTGGATTTCATCATGAATCTCAATGTTGGAGACCTCTGTCTGTCTGAGCTTCTTGGTTCTGAGTTCTCGCAGCTGTGGAATCCTCACGATGATCATGAAATGATAGAAGAGAGCAAGATCAATGGTGACAACGACAACTGGTTGTGTCCATCTTTAGACCAATCTATCATTTACACTGACGTAATGCCGGAGGATTGGACACGAATTAATTATGTCGAAACCAGAGACGACACTGTTTTGCACCTTGGATCACTGGCATCTTTTCTTGATTCCGGAGATGACTGATCAGTAGCAGAATAGTTTAAACAAATCGAGATTGTTAGGTATAAGCTCTAGGTGGTTACAGGTTTGACCCTTGGTCGATATTCACACTGTTTTGCACCAAATATGATTGTTTTAATTTCCTGCTTGTGCTTGGTGTTGATTAGGATGAAGTAATTGCTTTCCCTCGTGTGTGGATCTACTATGGCTCTAGTTATAGCTTTTCCTCCCCTAGGTAGAACCTTAGGAGTTATTTTACTATCAAGTTTGCGTAGTGTGTAATTAGCCTTATTCAAGTGAAAAGAAGCATTATTTATGTATTCGTTGGTAAGTCTTTTTTGAAAGATCTGACAGCCAAAAGAGTAGTGGACTTTTACATAAAGATCTTGGCATCTCACAAACCATTTGGTTGGAGGTGTGTTTTTCATGTGAAAATGAGACGAAAAGAAGGCAAGAAATTTCGTTTCTAACTTCTCAAAATAAATTCGAATCGAGCTTCTCACGTCTTTGAGGCGGAGTCTTTTAGCAGCTAAATCTTCCCCCAACCAAATGGGAAAAGACGAAAATGCGGACTACCAAACTTCTGAACAACTGACAGCCCATGTGAAAAGACATCTGAAAAGGGGCATTAATTACTCCACTAGGATTATTGTTTGATTGGCTGTGCTTTGATCAAACAATATTGAAAATGGAAATGACTATCATGAGATTATTAATTCGATGCCAAATAACTCAAATCTACTAGCCGTTTTGTTTATCTTTCTTTCTTGTATGTTTTCTACATGCATGTGGATGTCGTGATTCAATAATTTATGAAATTTAATATTTTATTTAAAGTTTAGGGTAAAATACACTCTGCCACACCCCATACGTTACTTTGGGGTACTTTGGTGTACGTGACACTTTATCCCCCAAACTTCTTATTTTTCTTCTTTTTGGTCATTTAAAGTATTCTTAATTTTTAGGAAATTGACTAATTCTACCTCTACTATTTATAAAGTACTCCTAGATTTTTTGACAATTGACTAATCCTCCCTACCGTTACTATTCATTAATGGAAAGATGGAAAAAACTATTTTACCTATCATCTTCTTAAAATTTTCAAAATGACATATTTGAATAACACCTTGCTAGTCTTCTTTATCTTCTCAAAGGAGAAAACCCTAAAAACTAGGTACGTGTTTGGCATCGGTGCTGGGAACATCGCACTATTTTCTCATAAAAACGGTGCTGGGCATGTGGAGTTATAAGAACCGTTTTTTTCAAAAAACAATGCTTATTTTTTTGTTTGGAACTAGTGTTGCCACATAGGCGTTTTTTGAGAAAACAACATTGGTTTTGCTTGGTATACCAGTGTTGGTAGACTTATTCACAGGCCGGGCCGGGCTTTGCCTCTTTATCAACAAAAAAAGCCCAGGCCTGAGCCCGAGCCTAGATCTTAAGCTCGAGTCCAAATCTGAAGCCCAATTTGCACATAAAATGTCCTACTTTTTGTGTAATTTAATAAACTAATATTATATTAATTTGGTAATAATTTAATAAATTAATTCATATTTCTTGAATAATAAATTAATATTTGATAATAACTTTATAAATAAATACATATTATATATTTATTATATATAAATAATGTATATTTCTATTATATGTAATAGTATCAGGCCAGGCTTATTTGAGAAAGCTTGAGCCTAGCCCAAAAAATATTGGGTCGGGCCGGGCTGGCCCGTCAGACTACCTGGCCCTAGGGGTGTCTATGAAAAACTGAAAAACTGAACTGAACCACAAAATGCAGTTAACCGAACCGATTGGTTCGGTTTCAGTTTGGAAATTTTGAAAAACCGAAGGACCAGTTTGGTTTTCGGTTAACATACAAAAAAAAACCGGCAGTTAACTGAACCGACTGATATATATATTTATATGTATAATTTATATATATTTTTAATATATGTCACATATTTTCTATATATTATATATAAATATATACTTATATTATATTTATAATAATCTATTTATAAATATATTATATATTTTTAAAATATTTATAATATATTATATATCATTTATTATTTATAACAAAATATTATACATATATTTATATAATATATATTATAAATATAAAAAACTAAAAAACCAAAGAACCGAATCGGTCAAAAATCGAAACTGGTAGACTAGTGGTATCGGTTTAGAGAAATGGAAAATCTGGTACCACCGGTTTGGTTTGCAAAATATGCCCATGGTTCGGTTAACCAAACTGTGGACACCCCAACCCGACCCATGAACATGTCTAAGTGCTGGCAGCAACGCTTTCAACATTGATCTATATTATTCAACGTCCAAGATGATGCCACATTGGTGCCACATCATTGCATCGCTGGCAGCAACGCACCATTTCCTCTAAAACATTGAATTTAGCGTTGCTCCAAACCACACTTTCCTTATTTCTAAGGTGTTGTTTGAAGTAACATTTTTTCTGGAAAAATAGTACCAAACAAGAGGGCATTGTTTGAAGCACTGCTTTCTTTGATGTGGCACCTAGGTGGTGTCATTTTCTCAGAAAATGACATTAATGCCAAACACCCACTAGAACCATCTCCCCATTTCCAGCAACCCATCCACCCTTCCAACGGCAAACAACGACCCAGTATGATCCCTCTCTAATCCCATTTTGCATGTAACAAAAAGAATAGAAATTGATATGTAACCTATTTTTTTTAGGGTTAAATACTTAAAGTACCCTATGGTTTAGTAAATAGACAAAAACTTACCCTACTGTCGGGGTTCAAAGTATCGATATGATACGAGTTTCGGTCGTATCGTATCAGTACTTAGAAATGGCCGAAACTTTATTTTTTTTCACATTTTGTTTTTTGGGAAGCTGTTATCATGTTTTTTATTATTAAAACAAATTGGGGGTCCGAAACACCTGGAAACAGGCGTTTTAGACCGTATCTTTTTCAAAAGATATTATACGATACGCTCCATATCGGGCGTATCGTATCGATACTTTGAACCATGCCTACTGTTTAAAAAATTACTTATAGTACCCTTAAGTTTTTTGACAATGGACAATGCCATTAAATATTGATGAAAAAAAGTGAAATATCGAATTTTCCCTCCATTATTTCTCGAATTTTCAAGTTAAAATCAATTGATAAAAAATTCAAGAACTACAAGAGAGTTAAGGAAGGAGGGCCCCACCAAATTTATATCAATATTGGAGCTTAAAAGGCCTAAAGGGTGAGCTTGAGCTTCCATTTATGGTGGTTACAAAAGCTCTGCCCTGTAATACACTTATGCCAAGGTGGGTCTTTGCTTAGGGAAAAGATGGTCGACACCACAAGGTTGATATTGGAAAGACAAATCTGTGTAAAGTATGGATTTTTCAAGCCCTATAACCACCCGTAATATTCAATGTACACTCCCCTATCCCCGCACATTCTTGATTGTAATCCCTTTGACAACATGGAGAGCTAGCATTGGGATTGAATTTATCATTTGTTTGGTCCTTCGAGTAGATCAATTAGAGAGTACTATAACTCTTTTTTCCATTAGGCGCCATTCTAGTTTCCATGGGAGGAATTAGGATCTGCTCCTCACACCGGGTGCCTCACAGTGACCTCACAAGCACATCCCATCGTGAATTAGGAACATCTCCCATAAATAATAACACATAAGTACGGGATATGTTCCCAATGTATGGTGGGATGTGCATGTGAGGTCGGTGTGAGGCGCCATGTGTGAGGAGCAAATCCAGTCTCCCATGGGGGTAGGCTACAACTTGTACGGAGAAATTAATGCCATTCAACCAAGCGGTATATTTTGCTTCACGAAAAAAAGCAATCTATTCAACCTGCACTCAATGTAATAAAAAAATTCTGAATATACCAAGTTAAAATCAATGCTTTAATGCTAAAAAGATGCTCATTGGGATTAAAACAAACCTCTCTAACTACTTTCCTATGGATTTGAACTCCTTTCTAAAAGATTTTCAAGTATCTAAATATAGATGCAACCACTCTAAGCTGAACCTGAAATTTTTGGTTATCAACACAATTTGGGTGATCAAAGGTCTTGATTTCGTTAATTGGATTAACCAAATACCACTAAGATGTGTCCTCCCATTCTAGGATATTGAACATACCCTTCCCAGACTACTGAACCTACACTCCTCGTGTATTGGGGTGAAATCCTAGAACAGGGAGGATTTTGTCCATTGTCAGAAAACTTAAGGGTATCATAAGTAATTTTTCTAATAATAGGGTAAGTTTTTGTCCATTTTCTAAACCATAGGAGTACTTTAATGGTCCGTTTGGTTGCCGAGAAAGGATGGGATGTGAAAGGAATATATTTCTTTCCCATTTTTGCATCCAGTGTTTGTTTCCTAAGAAACAATATGATCAAAATTCATTTTCCTGTGTTTGTTTACTAAGAAATTTTAACAAGAAACATATTAAACCGAGTTTTTCATCCTTTCTCACCTTTTTCAATGACATTGCATGGTTCATCACATGAATGTATAAATTTTCCATGTGGCAACAATGAGGTGCATATAAGATATCGCAATCACATTCCAAATCGGTGAAGTGTAAAAGAAAAAACTAAAAAAGACAAGGTAGTGAAAGAAAATATTAGATCTAAGATCACCTGTTACCTGAAGACGAAATCAATTGCTTTGTTGTTTGTGATTACCAGAAGTAACAAAAAAACAACACAAAATCTCATATCTGAGTTCAACCAAGACAAAAAAACGTTTGAATAAAAAGATATATTATTGTGCCAGAGAACAAAGTCCAGATATGGGACTATCATATTCTAGAATCCAGAATTGGAGATCGTGCGAATAAACTCAAATGATTATCCGGTTAGAAGCTAGATCTGGTTCAATCATGCCAGATCTAAGCCTACCTTCGCCAAAAATTCCAGCGGTGAGGTCTGGATGACCGAGGACGGATGGAGCTGGCAGTGAAATTTCGGTGACCACCCATCAAACGGAACAGGAGAAAAATAGTATAAAAAAGAACGTGAATGAAGAGATAGTGTCAGAACTACACTTACTGTCCGACAAGAAGGGAGGCGGCGATGTTTGTGAGAGGGCACTTGACAAAAATTTCTTGCCTTTTTTCCTTTCTCAGCGAGGTCTCACCAAATTAGTGTGTCCCTGCTTATTGATTTTTAGGAACCCACATCCCTGGTGTTTCCTTTCCTTTCTCAAGTTTTCATTTGAAACAAACACACGAAAAAAAAATATTCTTCAAATATGCTTCCTTTCCCATCTGTTTCTTAGAAACCAAACGCACTATA